CCCCTGGGAGCAGCCTGGGAGAGGCCACTGCTGGGCCGCCCCTGTCGGGAGGTGGGGGCAGGAGCTTCTGCTCACAAGCCTCTGGGCCCCATGTCCCTCTGTGAGCACAGAGCTCAGTCCCGAGCTGGCGGTGCCCTGACCTTCCCGCACGGGGCCTCCATCAGCACCTAGATGGTCCCGCGGCTCCTACCCCTCCTGCCACGGTCACACTCTGGCCTGTTCCATGGCTCTGCCGTCCTGTCCTCTGCCCTGGCCGCTGGCTGGTCACAGGGATTTAGAAGCCTGTGTGGCCAGAGCTGCCACCACTTCCAACGTGACTTAGATGTGTGTGTTTGTTGATCCTCACCCGAGGGTACGTTCCCACTGATGTTTAGAAAAAGTGGGGGAGAGGGGGAGAGAGAGAGAAGAACATCCAGGTGAGAGAGAGACTTTGATTGGTTGTCTCCTGCATGAGTTCTGATCAGGACCCAGGCCAAAGTGGAGCCTGCTACCGAAATACATGCATCCTTGACTGGAATTGAACCCAGGCCCCTTCTGTCTGCAGTCCTATACTTTATCCACTGAGCAACACCAGCTAGGGGCTAATGTGACTAATATTAATACAGTCAGTTTGCTGTAGACATTGATACCTTATAGGGGAATAATTCAGTAAATAAATAAGGAGCAAGTGGAACGATGCTGGAGAAGTGAGCTGTTACCTGAGAAACCCTCCATTTAGGATGGAGAGGGAGTTAAAAGAGCAGATTACTCCAGGCAACGTTACCTCTTCTTCTTTTTTTACATTAAATATTTCTCAATTTTTCAATGACAGCGGGAACTTGTCACTTTTCCCTGAAACCCTCACGTGAGGATGGAGTTAAGAGCTGAGGAGCCCGAGGGAGAGGAGGGGGTGAGGGAGGCAGCAGCAGAGGAGGGAAGAGGCGGAGGGAGGGTGTCACTGAGAGTCTGTGCTGGTTGTGACCAACCTTCTGTGGGTTTGATCAGAGAAGGAGAAGGTGGTGCCCATGACCGGGGTGGACACTAACATATCAGACATGATGGGTCAGTAGTGACACAGGGTTCACACACATGACATTAATCTGTGGGGAGCATGGCTGTCTGGGTGACTATGTGCAGGTGCAGACACAGGATGTGAGCTGATAGGAAACATACACTGGTCCCGGGCCCTGGCCCAGGCAGGGGCTCCTGAACCCTTGTCACTCCCTGGGGGACGGGCAGGCCTTTTGCTCTGAAGTGTTTACTCTGCATGGGCTCCTGGGATTGACACCCAAGGGCAGACAGTCATCACGGCGGGAGCCAGGGGTTTTGGTCTCACTTCCTCGTCATCTGAATCACTGTGAGCACCGCTATGATATGCAGCACAGTAATAGTCAGCCTCGTCCTCAGGCTGCAGCCCCGAGATGGTCAGGAGCCCCGCATTGGCCGAGTTGTCTTTGGATCCAGAGAAGCGGCTGGGGACCCCGAAACCCTGGTGCTTCTCTGAGTCTGATTTATATTCCAGGAGGTACCGGGGAGGGCTCCCTGGCTTCTGCTGGTACCAGGATATCCTGTAGCCG